CCCCAGAGGGGGGCGACCTGAGACAGGCACAGCCGCCTGAGGCCAAGAAGAATGTTGTGAAGCAGCTGCTTCTCATACATGCCACCCTGATAAGGTGTAAGGCTCGCTGGTGCCAACACGAAACGATTTACCAAAACATAAAGGGTCTTCTGACCTCGAGCCAGACGCTGCCTGTTAACCATTTCTCTTGTCATTCTTCTTCGCTATATAAGACTGGGCAACTTAATAAAGCTTCAGAGTAGCCTTCAGCTCTCTCCGCATACGGTGTGTATGTGTACATGGTATCGCGACACCGACAACCCTGTATGTGATCTCTATGGAAACTAGCCCCGCCCCTTGAACTCTGGAACTTTTACTATAAAACCCCCTGCCTTTTCTCCCCAGCAGGCTCACAGTCTTGAAGGCATTAGCCCACTGTGACCTTTGCCTGCAAAGAAATAAATCTGCCTTTTCTACTTTATCCAAAACTCTGTCCTCAAGTCTCAACTCAGTAAGCAGGGTATGGAGGCCAGGTTTTGGCAACATGCAGAGTGGAACTCTGTCCGACCGAGCCCAGAGGAAGACACTCTTGGGGTCTTAGTGTTTTCTCTGAAAATATGTTCTTGGGGGTTAATGTTGAATTTTCAGAATTAACTGAAGGAAAATGACATAAAGTGAACACTGGTTAACCCTGGGTGGTGGACACTGGTGCCTGGCATCTGGCTTCTCTGTACTTTTGTGTATGTATATTGTTAGCATTTTATGCTGAAAATGTCACACTAAACCCTGTCGCGCCTTCACCAGCGACGAAAAGCATCAGCCTGCGCAGGGCCAGTCCTGTCTGCTCTGCACCCGCACCCACTTCCGCCCCCTCCCTGGGGCCAGTTTGAAAAGCACCCGGGACTTCGCGTCATTCCATCCCTGGATACTGGAATGTGTGTCCCTAATGGGGGTGATGTTTTCTTAAAGCTTAGCTGTGGAGCCAGCACCCTAACCCAGGCATCCAGTCCCATGATTCCTGAGTCTTCCAACGGCTTTTAGCTCAAGATGGTGGTAAGTTTTCTCCCCAGGAACATATTGGTTATTGATTGTTCCCAAAGGGTGACCCTGCCAAGGGAGGGGCGCATGCCCTCCCTCCCGCCCCCATCCCAGAGCCTGCAAAGGCCGTGTCACCACTCAGGGCTGCACAGGAATCGTTGATGGAACACAGGTGCTTGGTGAGTGTCCGTCATAAACCATGATCTAGTTTATCCCCAGCTTAGCTGCCAGCACCTATTTCAGAATCGTGGAAAATCCCGCCCCTGATTGAATCATCTCGGCTGCCACTGAACCACTGAAGGTCTGAACCACACAGGGGGCTTTAAAGACCCTGCCTGCCTCCCCCTGCCCCCCACACCCCAGCACAGGACCCTGCTGCCGGTGGTCTGGCATCCGTCTCTCCAGGTGATCCTGGTGGAAATCCAGGTGGACCACCATGCTCCTGGTGATGAACCACCACGGCCCCGAGCCCCAGGCACCAAGGGCATTTACTTCCACATCCACTTCTGCATCTGTGTTGTGCATCTGATCCAAGTGCGCGAGAAACATGCTGTAGTTTTCAAACATAATCTCACTTAATCCGTGTTTGTAAAGTGAACACAGTCCAGCTCCTTTGAAGAGAAAAGAATATAATGCTTTGTTACAGAACAACCACTACCATGTAAACAAACAAAAATCAACCCACTGGAGGTGGTGAGACAAGTTTACTTTTGCAAAATAATGTTTACACCAAAGATTAGACAAAGGAACAGGCGACATTTCCCGGACTTGTGGCGCGCAGAGCAGTGAGGCGTCTGCTGGCACCGCGGTGTTTAATCCGCACAACGACCCCGTGGGGTGGGGGCTCTCGTTGGCCCCATTTCACAGGCAGAGATGCTGAGGCCTGGAGAGGTTGCTGAGCTCACACGGCTGGTAAAGGCGAGTGAAGAAAGACCTCAGCTGGGATGAGGGGTCGGCTTGAAGGGAATCATTGCGAGTGTGAACGTGAATCTTCTCACGCTCACGGAATGCATACACATCCCGTCCCACGGAGGCGGCAGGGGAGGGCTCCTGCCTGGTCCAGGGCTTTGTCAGAGGCCGGGGTGGGTGCTGACGGGCTGGGATAGGGTAGAGATTTCCTAATCAAGGCAACAGAGACTCTTGGATCAGGGAGGTAAATTCAGAGTTTGTAGGAAAGCGTGGTCTTGACCCTAGGAAGGCCATTTATGGACGTGAAGACCCAGGGGCCAGCGGCTGGGGTCCACGCACATTTGGGAGGCAGTGACCAGCGACCAGGCTGAAGGTGGATGACTCCTAAGGTCCCAGAGTCTGTGAACAGGGACTGGCGCTCAGGGCTGCTCCTGGTACAGGGGTTGCAGCTGGAACAGGAGGCTGGGTGGGCCGGGGTGGAAACGCTGGAGGACTCAGAGCATGGCTGGACCTGCCTCTGGACCATCGGAGGGAGCAAACAGAGTTGTTTCAGAGCCAGTTAGAGGGAGAGTCTGCTGAGACTCTCTCTTCAGAGACAGCCCATAGGTAGTCCCAAGCTCAGAGGGACTGGGGAGCCGGGGCGGGGGCCTGGGGGAGGACCGGGGGGACCAGGCGGGGGAGCCTGGGGGAGGACCGGGGGGACGGGGCGGGGGCCTGGGGGAGGACTGGGTCTTGTCCCCGCTCCCTAGAAGTCATGGGCAGGTTTGAGGCAGAGGTGCTCAGAGCCAGTGATGTTCTGAGATACCCATGCATGACTGGGGCCTGGGGACAAGAGGGGAAGCCAGGAGGCCTTCCTGGGGGGTGAGGTATTGCCCGTGCAGGTGGATGTGGGGCTGCACGGGAGGAGTGCCGTGGGGCTAAGGAGGAGGGGATGGATCCGAGGGGGTGCTGCGTTGACCCTCTAAACCGAAAGCAAACAACAGCAACAGCAATGATGAGAATCTGTGGGAGCTTCCCCGTGCTTACAGCAACGCACATTTATCATCTCAGCACTGAGGTCAGAGGTCCAGGTGGGCTCGGCCGGTGCCTCTGCCCCAGGACGGGCTGGGATCAAGGTGCTGGACGGCCCAGGCTCCGGGGTGCAGGGGGGTTCATTTCCTGCTCATTCTGGGTTTTGGCAGAACCCACTTCCTTGTGGCTGTAGGACTTGGGTCCCTGTTTCCCTGCCAGCTGGGGTTGATCTCAGCGTCTGGGTGCTGCCTGCGCTCCCCTGGGTGGACCCCCTTCTCCATCTTTGGAGCAGAAGTCCCTCTCGCTCTTTGCTTGGCTCTACGGCCGGCTCCTGCCTCACCTTTCCTGCTGCAACCAGAGAAGCTTCTCGGCTTTTCTATGGGCTGACTTGATTCACCCGAGCCCAGCCAGGAAATCTCAGATAATCTCCCTTTTTAAAAAAATTGAAGTATGGTTGATTTACAAGGTTGTGTTGGTCTCCGGTGTGCAGCATGGTGAGTCACTACACACACACACACACACACACACACATATTTTTTTCATGTTCTTTTTCATTGTAGGTTTATTGCAAGATCCTGACTAGAGTTCCCTGTGCTGTACAGTGGGACCTTGTTGTTTATCCATTTCACATACAATAGTCTGCACCTGCAGATTCCAAACTCCTTGTTTATCCGCCCCTCCAAATTTCCCCTTGGGGAACCGTAAGTTTGTTTTCTATGTCTATGGGTCTCTGTTTTGTACATAAGTTCATTTCTGTCATGTGCTTTTTTAGATTCCACATATAAGTGGTATCCTATGGTGTTTGTCTTTCTCTGTCCGACTTACTTCACTTAATGTGATCATCCCTAGGCCCGCCCATGCTGCTGCAAATGGCATTACTTCATTCTTTTTGATGGATGAAATGGAAGCGACCTAAATGTCCATCAACAGATGATTAGATAAAGAAGTTGTGATGTATTTATACACACACACACACACACACACACTGCAACATCTCCCTGTTGTAATGTCCATACCGTAATCACACCTGCCAGGTCCCTTTGCTGTGTGTTGTACCAGAGTCACGGGCCAGGACGATGCGGACGTCTTTAGCGGGACGTTATTCTGGCTCCTGTGGGTTTAGAGCATAACACAAGAGGCAGCGTTTATTCTTTCATTGTGTGAACATGTCTTGAGTACCTACTATGTGCTGAGTTCACACTGCACTAAGGAGGACAGCCTGTCTGCACGTCTTGCCCAGCCCGGCGCGGGGGGACGCAGGGGAGGGGACGGAGTCCTCCCCGCAGATAGGCAGCCGGCTGAGCGCCCAGGGTGTGGCCGGGCTGCACCTGCAGGGGGCAGGGAGGGACCAGTGATGGAGGCGAGGACTGAGTCGCTGCATGGCTGGGCTGAGCTGTGGAACGTTCTGGACCCACTCTGCTGCTCAGGGGAGTTTTCAGGGACTCCCCCAACCGCATGCTTTCAGTCACTTCTGCCTGACATCACAGCCGGGAGAGGCTTCAGAAATCATCTGGTTGCAATGTTTTCAAAAGAAATCTCCTTCAGGAGATGTAAAGCAGGTTAAAAAAAAAAAAGAGCAGATTCGGTTCAAGCTGGGGTTGCAGAGAAGGTGGGGAGTGGGAGAGTGGAGGCAGACCCCGATGCTCAGAGCCCAGGGGCTCCTCGGGGGAGCCCCAGTCCCCCCAGAACTCAGCTTGAAAGGTAAGAGAAACTGAGGCCCAGAGGAAAGCATTCTCTTGAGCTCATTCTGATACAGGAGAGAGAATGTGGGGTGAGAGCATGTCCCAGGTCTTGAGTGAGTCCCTGGAAGGTGTCCCACCAAGTGTGGGTCCTTGGCTTCGTGCAGGAAAGAATTCAAGAGCGAGCCACAGGGGATAAAGTAGGTTTATTCAGAGAGAAGCGCACTCCGTAGACAGAGCGCAGGCCTCTCACTCAGGAAGGAGAGCGGCCGCGAGGTGCGGGGCTGTTTTTTCAGGGGCTCGGTAACTTCACACGCTAACAGGTCGAGGATTATTCCAGCTGCTTGGGGGAGGGGCGGGGACGCCCAGGGACCGGGCCCCGCCCACTGCGGCCTTTTATGGTCACACTTAAAACTGTTGTAGTGCCTGTGGGAGTGCCAGTCACCAGGCTAACACACTACAGTCAGCGTATAATGAGGCTCAAGGTCGACTGGAAGGCAAACCTCCCACCACCTTGGCCTCAGGGTCTACTGGGAGCTGGATCTCCCGCCACCGGGGTGCCCACTGCTGTGTCAGTCCCTGAATGGCTGTGCCCTGCCCCTCCCTCCTGTCTCAGTTTAGCCAACAGCGATCAGGACGCCTGGTCCCCGGCTCTCCTCCGATAGGGTGCTGATGACTCCAGGGTGTGGCTTTTAAACCAGAGTGGCGCTGGGAGCCCGATTTATCTTGGAAAACGCCCCAGGGCCTGTAGAAATTCCGTGTATGATGATGCTCCCCGGCCCCACTGCCGATTTTCCCTCGGTCCCCCTTCCGCCTCTATTCCCAGATCCAAAGATGTATGCCCCTTGCAGAGGCCAAGCTCTTTCTCTAAAGCCTCGCTCAGCTCACACAGACGGCACGCTCTCCCTCACACTCAGAGCCGCCGCCGCACCTGCCTGGGCCGGTGCCTGGGCCGCGTGGGGAGGAGGGTGACGTCAGGTTGCTGCCCCGCGGAGCAGCAGGCTTCGCGCGGGGATGCTGACATGTGGGCTGGCTCTTTGGAATGCGTTTCTGCTTTAAGCTGGGCAGGCTCACTCCATTAATGTCCCCTCTGCGGCACATCGGCTCAGTGTTTCCTGCCTCTGCGCTTTCCCGGTGTGCCTGAGAGACTCCATATGACCCGGGCTCCACACGGGCAGATTTCTGGGGCCTTACGGGCTGCCCGAGGCTCAGAGGAGCAGCGCAGGCTGGAACACAAGCCCTGGACATGAGCCGGACAGACTTACAGGCCCTGGGGGCACAGCTGGCCTGGCTCCCGAACCCCTCCCTGCCCCTGCTCCCCCACCTTCCTCCTCTCCTGACCCCCCTGCTTTTAGGGTCACTCACAGATGCTCTTGGATCCTGGTACCTCACTGGCCTGGGGGGCTGTTCTCTGCACATTTCTTTGGGAGCTGGAACGACGAATCCTTGCTGGTGGGTGTGTTCTGTTTTCTGGAGGGAGTTCACATCAAACATCATTCACTGTGGCCACTGGACAGTGTTTCTCATCAGCCCTGTGCGGCACATCCACCCCCACCCCAAATCCCCCAGCAAGGAGGGCGGGTTAAGCCACAAGTAGTCATTAACACTTGAGCGTAAATTAGGTCCTGCTACCCTCTCTGAAAGCAGTTCTGTAGGATCAGAGAGCCTCCCCACCTCAGTTCCAGTTGGGGCGAGGTGCAGGGGGCATGTGGGAAAGGTACGTAGGAATGGGGGCTTCAGGAAACCCGAGGGAAGTGGTCCGGCCCCAAGGTGAGGAGGGGAGCTGCGGGGTCAGGCTGCCAGCCCGAGGCCCAGCCCCACCGTCCTCAGTGTGCCGTGATGCATCTTATCCCGCCGCAGGCTGCTCGCCTTGGGGAGGTGATGCCGGCACCCGCCCTACAGGCTCGGTCTGAGGGTTCTGTCCTTTAGGGAGCCTTCCGCGTTGCAAGCACAAGTGAAAGCTGGCCATCGTGACTACCGACATTTTAACCCGAGGTTTATCAAACGTAGGTAAATGCACGGATCTGTTCGGAGGGAGCGGTTTCTCCTGGACCCTGGAGGACAGCCCGACCCCTTAAAGGTCAGTTTCAGCGGTAATGGCTGAGAAGAGGCAGAGTTTAGGTGCATGGCATTCCCTGCTTAATGGCCCCTGCGGAAGCTTTGTCTTTCGACGTGAGAGGCTGTGTTTTAGACTCGTTGAACTGGAAACGCAAGACTTCAGCGTTCCCGAGGACCTTGCAGACTGGAAGGATTTGTCCTCCTCTGGGCTTGAAGAGCTGCCTTAAGCCGGTGCGGAGCGGGTGGGAGGGGTGATATGTGGGGGGCTGTCAGGCAGGGCAGGTAAGCACTCCGGGGCTCCTCCTGTCCCACCAGCTCCCCTCCAACCGCACCCCCCCCCCCCCGCCGCCAAAGCCCATAAAGTGCTAGGAAATAGCCGGGTCTCGTGGCAATGGTGCTGCCACCTGGTGGCCTGCCCTGCAAACTGTAGGTTCCCCACGTTTGGGGCGACCCGGGGCCCTGAGAACTCCCATGTGGACCCCCCCCACCCTGCAGGAACCAGGTCCGGGCTCGCGCAGACCCTCCCTCCTCATCCGCCTCCTCCAGGACACCTGCCTCGCTAGGGGCTTCCACTGGCTGGTCCTCCAGGCCTTCCCTGCCTGATCTCGGCCCCCCCCCCCCACAGCTGTGGGTCTCCTCAGGAGGTCAGCCCGGATGGCAGCCACAGGAGCAAGGGCGGGGGTCTCCCAGACCCTACGCACCACGCGCTGGGCCCCTGGTTCCCTTGCCGAGCCCCGCCCCACCCGTCTGTCCTCCAAAAGGACAACATGGCAGGTTCCGAGGAATCCTGTCTGCCGACCGGAGACTGCTGATGCTAGCAGCGCGCACAGACCACAGAGCTGACTCTGGCTGAGCCTCTGCGTGGCTCTTGCTTTACACCTGGACCTTGTTTACTTGCCTGCAGGCCTGGGAGGGGCGGCTGTTGGGGCCTCACAGAGGAGGAAGAGGCAGAGCCGTGAAGCGAGGCGCCGCGCCCTGGGGCCGCCCCGCAGCCCTGCCTGGCCTGGCATTAGCTGCGACAGAGACCAGAGGGCTTGGGTGCTGGCTCCCAGCAAACTCCAGGTCATGCCCCTGTCCCGGGGAGGGCCCCACCCGGGAGTTCCAGTGGGAGCCTGAGAATCTGCATTTCTAGCAAGTGTCCTTGTTACTGCCGCCCCAGGACCCCACTTTGAGAACCACGGATACAGGTCAGTGGTCCTCACCTGAGGCTGCAGTTACAGAAATGCAGATGCCTGGGTCCCCTGCGCGAGATGCCGCATCATCAGGCAGGGCTGAGGTAAGGCGCTGGGGTTCACAGGCCTTCAGGACACTCTACGGTGCAACCAGGGTTGAGAATTTTGGATGTGGTTCCCCCTCCCATTCGGGGGAAACTGAGGCCCCAAGAGGGAAGGAAATTTACTCCTGGGTCATAGGGCAAGTCAGCCTTTCTGGGGCAAGGTCTTGGGTGGGTGTGGCTGCACATGGGTGTGACTTCTCTGGGATGCATCTCTGTGGATGGGACCCTAAGCTGGTGAGGGGCTGGGCTCAATGGGCGGGGGCAGCTTCAAGGGCCAAGTGTGTATCTTGCTGTGTCTCCCACCTCTGCCTCACCCACATCCTGCCCAGGAACATACACAGGCAGAGAGCAGGCCGCATTCCTCAGTTAGAGGCCGGGTGCCATCAGAGCCATCCGGAGAAGGGGGTGGGCACACAGTGTGTGGGGTGCCGGGAGTAGCTGAGGGGCAGAGCAAGATGGCGGTGGGCTGGCAGCACCGGCGGGGCTGAAGGAAGGAGGATTTGGGCGTGAGTCAGCCCGTCCCCTGGCCAGGGCAGACACTGTGTGGTCTCAGGTTGACCCCGACCTTCTCTACCACTGTGGCCAAGTTCCCTTGCGGGAGCCTCAGCTCCCCCTTTGTTACGAGGAAGGCGCTGGACCCCACGAGCTCCGTGACGGAGACAGTGAATGTGCCACCCTGATGCTGGGCGTCATTACTATCCCTGCACCCTCACCCCCGGAACTGGGTGGGAGACGGGGGCACCCACAGCCCACAGCAGCTCTGCAGGGCCCCGGGGCGGGTCTGCCTGACCGCAGAGCCACGCCCACCTCCTGCTCTGAGCCCATCACCACTGCCTCTGGTGGCGCACTCAGATGTTCTCCGTGGAACTGGCGTGCGGACCAAGCAGAGCTGTAAATTCTTCAGTGACCTAGCTCCCCCCGTTACTTAAAAAGAGGAAGTGCTTCCAAAAGGAATGAGGTAAATGGCCCCGTGCCAGAATGTTCCTCCCAGCACGAGTGTAAATATTATAAATAAGCACCTCGTGTGATCCAGTGTCAACCCTGGTGAGTGAACTGAGAGCCCACACTCCTTGGGGGACCTGTGTGGCCCCTCACTGCCTGGCCTCCTCCGCCCTAACCCTGGGCTTGCGGAAGGAAGCCGGAAGCCTTCTCGTTGACCTTGACTTTGGAAACAGCAAGTCTGAGTGATACAATCCTAATGAAGGAGAAGAGGGAACTTAATGAGGTTTGGCTCCCCAACCACGTGCATCTTTGGGGAGGTACAGAGCGAAGAAGGTGGTCACTGCCCCCCCTTCCCCTTCAGTGAGGAAGTTGGGGGTGCCGTGCTTCTCAGGAAAAAAGTTAGACTCCTTTTGGTGGGGAGGGGAGTAAGCAATGAGCTGGTTCCTGACAACACAAGGATTCTAAGGTGCCAGTGCCAGCTGAGTGCCCCCTGCGGTCTCCCCTGGTCCCGGCCGCTGGGCTCAGGGATGAGGTCTGGCATTCTTAGTGATGTCTGCGACACGCGGGCATCGTGAAGATGGTGAGGAAGGCGGCTGTCCTCTGGATGGGACCAGACGCTAAGGACAGTGGTGATTCCTGACCTCGTGGCCATGCCCCTGCCCCTCCCCCATCTGTGCTCTCGGGAAGAGGAACAGGTTTCTCTCGGAGGGTTTTTCCCGTCCCACCTGCCCCCATTCAGCCTTACCCCGGCCCCAGAGCTCCTCTGAGCACTCTCTCTGCCACCAGCTGGAGGTGAGCAGTATCTGATGAGGTCCCCAGGGAGTGAAGGACGCCACCCCTCTGTCGGCCCAGCTCTCACTCACCTGACTGGTCCTTGCCCGGTTTCTCTTCCTCCTTCTTCTGGAGCAGGCACAGAGCTGCAGGGTCTATGAAGCCTTGCTGTTGAGCGTAGGGTGATGGTCTGGCTCCAGCCTGCTGGGTGATTGGCAGCTGGCAGTCGCACCTGCAGTCTTGGACATCAGTCTGCGGCAGCCGTGGTGGATGCGCCATCTCTCGCAAACTGGTGATCACGAGGTGCACTCACAATGGCTCTCTCCACATTGAACTCCCAGGAAAACTCCCCCCCAACATGGGACGGGGGATGTGAGCAGACCGGGGTCCTTGGCCTAGCTCACGTTGGTTGTTACCAGCTCCCTGGCCAAGAGGACAGGGGAGGCTACACTTGGAATCCAGTGGATCAGGGTGTGGATGCTGACCGTGGGTCCCAGGGGTTGGAAAGGAGGCTGGTCTTTACCAACGGCCTGGCTGACCCCATGTCCAGCTCCCACAAGAGCGCAGCCTAGTTCTGCCGTGGTAACAGTGGTGAGTTTCCCGCCGTCGCCAGCATCCCTGGGGGGAGGGATGTCGTTGCATCCGCTCTGCCATCTCTGTGACTTCCTGCTGGGCAGGATGTGGTCCTGGACCCCGAGGAGCCAATCACTGCTGGATGAGTTCAGGCAGGTTAACCCCATTTGCCTCAGTGTATTTCCTTGAGTATGGCAGGCGGTAAGACTCCCATTTCGGGGCCACGTCTCTTGAATGTGAAGGCGAACACGCATGCTTGTCAGATCAGGATATTTCCTGCCGACGCTGAGTTGGAGGTGGAGAAAACAGCTCGTTCAAAGTACTTAGTGTGCCATGTTTGTGTCTGAAGGCCCCTGCGGCACGAATGGTAACAGTGTTGGGGGTCCCGGGCATTGGGCGCCTGGCTGTGTGCCGAGTGCCACGGCAGGCCCGTCCATACTTTCCCCTCCAAAGACGGAGGTGTTAATGTCACCCTCGCTTACTAAATCAGAAAACTGAGCCTCAGAGAGGGTGGGCACCTGGGTGGAGGTCCCAGAGCTGGGCAGAGGCCGAGGTGGGGTTTGCTGCGGCTCCAGGGTCCCGACCCTAACATCAAGTGGAACCGAAGTGAGCGGTTACCTTTGCTAGGAAGTCTCTCCCCCGGATCATCAAGCTACGATTAGAATTCAGCAGGAGTCCCAGACATTCAATTGGGTGCATTTAATCTTATGGCCTCTATTACTGGTGTCCCGTCACATTCCAAAGTGTACACGACAAAATGCAAATGATAATTGGGTTAATGGCGTATCATCTGAAACAATAATAAATTAGCCCTCATTTAATAACCCACCTTAAAAGCGGAAATAGCCGTGCTAGTA